AACGCGGTTGAAACCATACTTCATAAAAATTTAATTTTTTGTTTAAAATTAATTTAATTTTATATTTTTAAACTATTTTAATCTGATAATATTTAAAATAATTTTTTAAATAAAAAAACTTTGAAAAATAAACATTATCACCCTTTCAAACAGTCCTTTCAGCAAGATTTTCACTTGGAGTGCTTTGGTTTTTTATTTACTTCCATTTCAATAATCACTGTTTGCACGAGTGATTAGCTGGGAAATTGTAAGATCGATAAAGACATATGAGTAGATGGGTACAACAAACAACTTAATTAGGGCCGCGCGGTCGCTGTGAGTAAAATCTCAAGTTTATTGAATTAAAGCAAGATTCATATCTACTCTATAAATGTTTATTATTATTCATTTTTTTTAGAAAAGAGCATGCCATGTGTTTGGGAATTATTGTTCAAGAAGGCGTAGAAGATTATACGTCTTTCAGAGGGATATAGAGAGTAATTGCCAGTGCATGCAGCGTAGATTAGATGCATTCTAGGTTCGCCCATGGTGCTCCTTTCCCCATGGTAGAGAGGCCCTAGAGGGCTAATCAAATGCCAGAAACACCTGGGAATCGAGATGTGTATATCTCACTCAAGCTAAATCTTGTATTTTATTAATCACCCACCAAAGAAAAAAGAACAGAATTATATGAACAGTAAGTCTAAAGAACTCTCCATCATTAAGGAAGGGGTTTAGCTTAAACGCGGGAGTTCATAAGAATGTGAATTCTCAGGCGGAGTCAAGGTTCACCTTCAGAGAGGACAGAAATGAACAAGGGTTCTTCTTTTTTTATGCTGCCAGGCACTGCTTGTTCTAAACCCCTGCCGTGTCAGAAACAACAAAGTAGAAGATACGTAACTTTATTATTTTTTAGTCGTCAAGCCATTGCAGATTCCAGACGTCACTTTTGCAGGTTTTATATATCCAGAAGAATAGGAGGAAATTCAGGAGTGTACACATTCATTCATACATTGCTTTGTGATCCAACTCACATTAGCTGGAGTTAAATGTCAAGGGCTGTTGTTTTTGGAACCATGTTTCTCTTTTTTTTTTAAGAAAAAAATATAGTCGTTTAAAATTAATTATTTTCATGTTTTGAAATCATTTTAATATGCTATTATAAAAAATAATTTTATAAAAATAAAAAACATTATTTTCAAATAAAAAAACACTTTTAAAATCGCCACCCACGTACCACCACAATCACTGCCAAAGTTTTCAACAAAGTACTACACTTCGATGTCGTGTCGTTGCTGTTTTTCTTTTCCCTGAATAGCTATGATTCTTAGCAGCGAAGGCAAATAGATGGAAAAAAAACCCACCCAATTAATTAATTAATTAATTAATGTTGTTGAAGCCACAGCCTTAAGTAGGGCAATTACTTTTTACCGGAGGTCGAGAGATGCATGAACCTCCATAGATTCTTTACTGAGCATGTACATATAAGAATTTTCATATAATGATCGACATTATTTCCATCTTAATTAAAATTCTATACTGACGGTCACGATTCCATCTTGTATAGAAAATTAATCCCTTTTTTTTTCAGTTTTTTCACATAACATTTTTAGAAATGTGATTCTATGTTTATTTTATATTTTGATAGGTGTTATTTTTTAAAAATATTTTTCATTTAAAAATATATTAATTTATTTTCTATATAAGCATATTAAAACAATTTTAAAAAAAATTAAATAAAAAATAAAGATATTTTAGAATCGGGACCGGAATGAAAAAACAAATTCCGCACCTGAATATGTAATTTTCAAACTGGAATTTCATGCACCAACGAATTAAAGGGATTTTCTTGGGTGATAATCATGTAATGGTCAAATTATCTCTTCGTGGCCCGCTGCTTCTTGGAAACAGGCTGGAAACTTCAAGAAGGCGAGGAAGAAATGGGATGGATGTTGACCTCTTGAATGATGAATTAGTCAAGTAACTGCTCTTTTTTTGTTGGATTATTTCGTTGTTTTCTGTTGAATTTCCTTTGTAGGAATTAACAAGTTATTTCACGTGTAAACTTCGCACTAGGTCGGTTGATGTTTTTAGTAAAAGAAAAAAAAATATAAAACTTTTCTAAATTTCTTTTAGACAATAAAAGTATGATTTATAGATTAAAAAACGTATACATGGATTTCATTAAATAAATAATAAACTATTTATGCAGATAAATTTAAATGTTTATATTCAATTCACCTAGAATAATTTTTTTTAATGTAAATAACTTAATGCATAGGTTTTATTAACGTGTATTTTGATAACAAGTTAAAAAAATATAATTATGAATCAATAAACTAATATTTATATATAATAAAATATAATGAAGATTATACAAATTAAACAGATTTATAAAATTTCAAATATATTTTTAACATAGTATAAAATTGGGATATTCTTGCACTTGCTACATTGACATGCTATTTTTTTAGTCTTTGTATCGTAGTTTTTTTAAAATAAAAAATAAAATATAAAAGAATGAAGATAAAATTAAAAAAAAAATATTTAAATAGACCAAGGGTAGAGTGATAAATATTTCAAATGTAAATAATATTTTTTGAAAAAAATATAAAGAAAAAATTAATTGTAAAGATATTATAAAAATTAAAGATAAAAAATAATAAAAATAGATCAAACATCAAATAATAAAAATTTAAACTGTTTTGTAGAAAAATTTGTTTCCTAATAAAAAAACACAAAAAATCACAGATATATCACTGCTGAAAAAAATTAAACTGTGTAATTTGTATAGTAAAACACCGTACATGTATAATAATACGTGTACTGAGTGTGTACTTGAACATACTGATTGGCGAAGCTGTGTTTTCCTTCGTTTTTCTAATCCGAATGAAGATTTGGATAAGGCCCAAGTCAGCCTTGGAATTTCATGACGTCGAGAGCTAACCATTTTGCCAAGTTACTTGCTGACTGCAAAGAGCTAGTTTTTAGTTTTTAATACTCAAAACAATGGGGGCGGCCTCTGGTTTCAGAGATCTACTGCATCCTGTTACTATTGCCTGCCTGAGGATTTAAAGCCATAAGAAAACGGCGAATATCCTCGTCATACCTAAAATCTTACAGCATCCTGCATGTGACCACTTGTCTCGATATTGTGCTAAATGGGGGGAGGCCGATCTGCCCCAGATCCGTGTATAGTTTTTCCATGCCGAACTTGAATTAGTGGAAGTCAAATACAAAGACCAGCAGGCTATATTTTACAGCGTCTACACAGCACACCTTTTTTTTTAATGGGTACTTATCTCCCTTTATGTTGGTAGATCTTGATCAGTTACGTCGACTTTTCCAATTCACAGGGAGAGAATGGAGATCTTGTTGACTGCTGAGGAGGCGCTGCAAATGGAACGCCTGTAGATGCCTGAACCTGGAGGATGGCTGAACAAGAAGAACTAAATCCAGCCGAGCATTTCCATAGAAAGAAAAGGAATCCACCAGCCCTTCATGAGCTCATAACAGCCTGCTAAAACTAGGTTTCGCAGCTTTGCTCAAGAACTAGCCTGGTCGTTTTCCACAGAGCCCGAGTCCCTTTCAATCAATCTTTTCTTCTTCTTTTTTTTAACCAACAAAACTTGTCGAAGGCACCCATTGTACTCTCCAGTACTGTCCACAACCAAAACCAGAAGCCTGGAACGGCTGTACATTATTGACTTGTAGTTATTTTTTCTAAGATGATCGAAATTTAAGCCCTCAACTACACGAAGCAGCAGCAGAAATTGAAAGCTGACCTGGTTTCTGGTAAAAAAAAGATTAAAAAAAGGATTTTTAAACGGTTTTCAATTTCTACATGTTTGTTAGACGGTGGTAAATATTGTTTTTTAAATTATTTTTTATTTAAAAATATATTAAAATAATATATTTAAAAATTTTTAAAATTTATTTTTGTAGCATTGAAAGGAAAATTTATTTGTAAGAATTTATTTTTTTATACTTAAAATTAATTAGTTTAGTATCACTTTAATTATTAAAATAAAATAATATTTAATAGTATAAATATTTTTATAAATCTTGTTAAAATAATGTAAGGGTCCAATAAAAAAAAAACTTTGTTTTTCTAATCAAATAAAAAATTATATTTTTAATATGGATTGTGTTTTTATTTATATAAGTAAAAAAAATGGTTATTTTCTTTAATAACTCATTTTAAGTCCTGAGTTAAGTTAATTTTTAGCATTAAAATTATCCAATAATATAAAAAATATTAATTTAAAATAAAAATAAAAATCCTTAAATGGCGCTCCACAATTCTCATTTTTCGAACATGAGATCTTTAAATTAAATAGAAATGTTAAGTCTTAAATGCTACGTATCTCCTTGACCTCCTCTAATTCCTTTCTTTGAAAGTAGAGAATTATTCACTGTCAGAAAATAAAAGCAACGAATTATTCTGTAAAAGCCCACATCCATGCTCTTACAAATTGTTGCGATAATTATTTATTTATTTTTTTGTGTTGGTTTAATGATGTAAGAGAAATATTTAGGAGTGTATTAGTGATTATTTTTTAAAATATTTTTTAATTGAAAATATATTAAAATAATATATTTTTTATTTTTTAAAATAATTCTAAAATTAATTTGAAAAAAATTATTTTTTAAATGACACTTTCAAAGCTTAAAAACAAATAGGCTCTAAGTTGATAATTGTTTTTGCAGTGGTACTATGCTTTTAAAAAAAGTTGAATTTGTTTTTGCTTCAAATTAATTTTTTTTATTTTTTAAAATTATTTTAATATGTTCATATTTAAAATAAATTTTATAAAATAAAAAATATTATTTTTATATTTTTCTAAATAAAAAATATTTTGAAGTTATAATAATAATTCGAAGTATGTGGGAATGATGGGCCTAAAGCAGCTCTGTTGTTGGTCTTCCTAAAGTGGAGGCTCTTCTACCCAAGTTTGTTTCGAATTAGACAAGTCTCTATACATGAGGTTAGGCCCAAGCCCAAATTCAGATACGTCCTCACTCTTCACTCTCCAGAACCAACCAGTGAAAAAGAACAAAAACACAGAGAAAGAGAACGAGACCCCAATGCACCAAAACCTCAAGCTTCACAATCACCGCTCTCTTCAAGCAAAGAGAAATCAGTAATCACTCGCTGCAGTCTGCAGTGCACATATAGTATGGCGACTTCTCTGTTTTCTCCACTCTCAGCTCCAAACCCAGAAATGGTCAGCTCCTCTGCTGGGTTAAACAAGTCCTCCTTTCTCCAATGCTCCAAACTCCTTTTATTAAGCACTCCTAGAAAACAAAGATGCCACTGCTCTTGCAAGTCCCCTACTGTTTATATTTTTAATATGGGAATATGCCCTTGTTTATATTTTTGAATCATTAATAGCTTTTTGGTTTTTCTTGTTTATGGAATTGTTTGTGTTTTAGAGTCTTAAATGGAAAAGACAGCAACATTGGCCATTTATTTACTTGATAATTCGGAGACTGCCTTTCAATCTTCCCTCATCCATGAGCTCGATAAGTCATAATTGCATTAGAATGAGATGAGATGAGATGATTTTAAGGCTTTGCTGGCAGTATACAGATCACTTATTTTGAATGAGACGACTCCTAATTATTCAAGTTGAGACCTTCAGGTTCATTGCATTTAACTGCAATCTCTGTTCTTATCGGGACCCTCACCTTTCTATGGTTTTATGGAATATAAAGTGGCCTTTTGTATTAGAATTTGAGAGCTGCAATGGTTCTAGTGTCTTTGACTTGTTAATTTCCCAGCAGCCCCGAATTTGATTCTTGGAAGCTTCAAATTCTAACTTCCATTTCTCTTTATCTTAACCTCTGCAGTGATGAAAAATTATAAAAATTTACCTCCATCTCTTGATGGTCTTACTCCTTCACAAATGGGCATGTTCATGACTGAAGATAATCCCGTTTGTCATCAGTCAGGAAGTGTCACAGAGGTTCCTTCTTAATCACTCCTTGAGATCACCTCTCTAGCTTCAAGATGATCTTGTATTGATAAATTGCCTAAAATCAACTTCTGTTCTAATTATGCCACATCAACTTGTGTTCTAATTATGCCTAAAATCACATTCATGTGGTTGAATATGTGTAATCATTCACCCTAATTTCTTTTCTTACTGTTTAGAATGAGAAGATGGAGACTGTCAGATCAGAAACTGAAGCGTATGCCATTGCAGACACCATGTCTATAAGTATCATAATCTAGGATTTTCTCTGCACAGAGGTTATTATAAGATCTCTTTAGTTCATGCGCCAATATCTGTGTGTGCATGTCTGTTTGTTGTGTGTCTGCACACAAGATTTTCAGTTATTTTGTCACCTTTATGTTTATGCCATGGAGCAATATTAAATGTGTGTGTTTGTTGCATGTCTGCATGCAATATTTTCAATTATTTGTTAATTCCTTCATCAATTGTTTAATGTGATTGAAACTTATCCTGTGCATCTCTTTCTATATGCCTGAAGTACTGCAAATCAACTATCTATACTTTGAATTGTGGCATGGCATATGGTCAAGCAGCAATGCTTCTATCTCTTGGAGCCAAGGGTTATCGCGATTTACAGCCAAACTCATCCAGTATGCTCCAAAGTTCTCTTTTAAGTTTAAAAGCATTATCACTAGAGAACAGCAATGTTTTGGAAAATGCATTTGCAATTTGGAGCTTTGGGAACAGTAATGTGTTTAAAATTATTTATAACTAGAGAACCTATTTGTACTTGAATGGTTTAAAATATTTCTATTCACCATCATGTCTTCTAACTGTGTGAGACTATATGGCTGCTTAAGTACCATTCTTGAGAAAAAGAAAATGTGTCTGAACAAGTGAATGGCTAATCGGGTGAAGTTCTATCTCCTAAAATTTTGCCAGATGTCAGGAAAGTGGTATGATAGTTATGGGAGTGTTTATCACTGGTCATTTGTGGCTTGACCTAATCACCAATTTGACAATTTCTGGTCCTACAGGAAGGAGCACAATCTGTTTTCCACCCAGCTAATCCATCTCCTAACTTCTCGTAGCCTTATAAACTTAATTTCTTATAAAAGAACCTGTGAAAAACCTGTACCTGTTTGCTTTGCTGATCTATTTTGATAGCATTGGCATAAGTGACTAGCCCATGCAGCCTGTTGATTGCTCGATCAAACAATGTGGCCATAGGTTTGGCACATCTTTCAAGTAATGTAGAGGGTTTTGAGCATGAGGTTCTAATAATTTGATTCTGGATTGTAGCAAAATTATGTTTGCCTTAAGTCAACTGATCAAGCGGAGCTGCAGTAGATATGTGGATCAAGGTTCTCCCCTACATTCTCCCTTCCTTTTTCTTCCTTCATCAATTTTCGTAACTAACTTTTTTCTCAGGCCAAGGAATTGGATGCAAATACTGAGTACTATATTGAACTGTTAGCAAAAGGAACTGGGACGCCGAAGGAAGAACTTGTTAAAGACATCCAGCGACCACAATATCTCAAAGCTCAAGAAGCCATGGATTATGGGATTGCCGACAAACTACTTAGCTCAAGTGATGATGCATTTGAGAAAGGGTAATTTTTTCATTGCATTTGGCTTTTGTTTTGTGTTTGATTTCATGTGCATTTGAGTGACAATAAGCCTTCGATGTCCAGGACTATGATGCATTGCTTGCTCAAACAAAAGCCATGAAGGCACAAGCTGCTGGGCCAAGAGCAACTCCCTCTTGTTTTAGATGATGACAAAATATAGTATAGCTGATTATACAGAGTAAACTGCCAAGCTAGGATACGCTTTCGTTGATGGCAGTGCTGGTCCGTGTGGCCGTATAGCTCTGGATCCGTATGCGAATCTCAAAATGCTGTATACAATGTGTATCTTAGGCAAGGGCGCAATAGGCCACTGGTTCGTAATAGTATGTAATACAAACAAGTCCATATTTGTGTTCTGATCTTGTTGAACTCCGGGAGAGAATTCATGCCTTTTCAACTAGAGATGAGTTCTCTTTTGTGCAGGGTGTGAGCGAAATATTTTTCACACCCAGACCACACTTTGATTAAGTTGGTATTGAAATGCAGATCCCAAATCTGATTGTTTGTCAGGAAAACTGGTTACAAATACTACATAGGGCAAGTTTGTGACGGTTGCATTTCATCTCATGATTGGTTGAGATTTGAGAGCTTGGGCTTCATTATTATTGCTCTTGATGAAGTGCTCAGGGAAAGGCATCACCATCTTTAGTATGATTTCCTCTCTTTTAATCCATTAACAGCAACTGAATTCATCGGTTGATAGTTCAATCATTCAGTGTCTCCGTTTGAGCTTTAAGAAATCAAATGGCTGACACCTGTTTGCGTCATTGATAGCTTTGAATTCACTTGTTTATTTGCACTTCTGCTAGTTCCAGAAATATAACCAAAATGCCATGTCTTTTGAAGAACATGACTCCTTTTGCTGCTATTGAAGGTGGAGAAGACGTTAAGGAGAAATATTATATAGAGCAACTAGCTTAAAGTTGGCAATAGCCAACAGAATAAATCCACAGAATATAGATTTCTTAAAAGTTACTGATGCCTCACAATTAGGCTAGCCAATGGCTTCAACCTCCTCCTTGTTGATCTGATTGCAATGCATCTCATAACCATCATGATGATGAATAGATTGTACTGAAAGCTATTGTTATGCGTTTTTTCCCCGGGAGACATGACATTTGCAAATCCATTTGCATTATTAACTGTGCTGGACACATTCATCCAAAGATTGATTGTTTGCTGTAGCCTGTTCAGCTGGCTTCTTCACCTCGGTGCA